AGGCAAATACATAAATATATAAGACGAAAAGAAAAAAGTTACACAGTTCTACATGAATGACAAAAACATGTTGTGACCCAGGTGCATGTGCTAGCAGGCTCAAACTCGTTGACAAACAGAAGCTCATACAATGTGCGTAAGACTCGCTTAAAACCAGATATTGTGGAGTTTGAACGTATGGGGTGAGGGAGTTGGTTCCACATGGGAACAATTCGATTAAAGTAGAATCTTCTGTATAGTTTCAGTTTCGTAATGTTTGTCAACAGCTTGAGACGGTTAGAATTACGAAGAAGAACTTGAAGAAGCGAGAGATTCATTAAAACCTAAAAAGTTATTAAAATCCAAGTCATAAATAGCCAAAGAAACATTTTAAAAAATACAAAAAATCAATTTGGTTGAAGATTGGTTGCAGTATTCGGCAAATACAATATGCCCTGGTAATTAATCATTATTAGAAAACAACGATTTATAAAAATACAGATGATAGTGTAAGCCGTATGAATGTTTCTTTTTGACTTGGATATATATCTTTGGATATAGCATAGTATAGTAGTTTTTACCGGTTTTTGGGTGGTTTTGGGGGTTGTCAGCCATATAAATTTCCAAAAATGGTCACAAGACTAGAAAAAATAACTCCTTATCTTGTTCGCACCATTGGAAAAGTCATTCGGTGTCACTCGGCGATTTTGTGGATGCTAAGAAATAAAATAAAGCATGACCATAAAATGACCGTTATACGACACTGTTAAAAATTTACATCGGAATCTGATGGTTTCAGACTTCTTTAGGATGAAAACAGTTATTTTCATGTCCAACTGTCATATTTTATGTACATGATAAATCGTCAATATCTATACTCGTTTAGGTACTCTCGGATGGTTTTAATTTCCTAATTTGTAAATTGATATTTCTGTCAGTTCCCTTGAGATAGCAATGCATCAAATTGGGAGACGGATATCTAATACTGTTACTAAACTTCTCTCCGTATTGCAAAAACACACGCAACCGATATTCTCTGGCATACATCTATTATTCATATTTACGCTCATTGTCTCAGAGATATGAGAAACACCTAAGCAATTACACGAAAAGTCTGTCGAGTGAAACAACCCCATCACTCTGGAACACGTGGTGGCTAAAAGTTGATTAGCCGTCGGTGATATAATATGAACACTAACTACTTAAATTTTAACTCGTAACCTAACACATCTTGGCACGTTTGGCGTCACTGGAATACATAGTAATCGGTTTGATGACATCTGCTGTCCATACACCGGAAGCGTCTAATCCAGATTAGCCATTTTATTGATATGAACATTTATCAAAACGCTAACTTCATTAAAAGTTGAAGACAACATACAGAAATTAACTTTCGATTGCGTGAATGAGCCATCAACCGAGACGAATCAGTTGTCTAACAATCGCAATATTAATAAGCGTGGAAATCGGAGTAACAGCTACCTATATTTTAGCTTCCCATCTGTAAATATTCCGCTTCGTCATATATCTTGTTATATCAAAGTTATCAAATCACTTTTGCCATTTCGTGTGTTCATTAAAATTACGGTCTCCAGATAAAAGACAAAACCCAATAATTCAGTCAATTGATCAACGCTCGAATCTCTTTGAATACCGACGGACCAAATCTAACGTTAATAAAATGCCATGTGGGAATCATAGTACGAATAACAGCAATGGTTATAATAAAGTGGCCACCCTGTATTGTATGTAGCATAATAAAGCGATATCTACTGTAGTTAAACATAAATTTTCGCCAGTTCAGTAACAATACCACCATAAATAAACACAGTTTGCACAGTGAGATACGTTATGTCATATCACATAGGTGTACATAGGCTATAGGCCTACGCAAAGAAATAAACAGGTTACATTATTCATGTAGCTCTTGTAATTATTCAGCCGGAAATAAGTACAGGGATTTAGTGTGATGTAATCAATATGTTATTTTAATGCGAATTTTCCTCTTTTTATCTTGGGTTAAGGCCTGATGGTGTTAATATCAAGTAACATAAGCAGGATATATTATCAAACGACATATATTTTAGTCATTCCGTACCATTTTTGGGACAGTATTTCTTATCAGAAATCAGAAATAATTACAGTGTACTGTAGGCCTACTTTATTAAAACAGGGATTGTCAACCCAATTGAAATTAAAAAGTCATGAACCAATAAACCTCGTGAATTCAACCTCTTATCTTAATTCAGCGGCCTGGGTCTCTTTTCCCAGTCTCAGCCACGACATTCATATCCATGACCAAATTTATTATGATGGCTACGTACAGATTGGGGAGAGGGAATTCAGAGGGGGAAAAAACTCTTTGTGAATCGACCGTAGCCTATGTGTACCTTATCAAACAGACGAAAGTAGCACCGGTTGAGTTGCTCAGACCAAGAGGGTTACTGTACGAGCTGTCTCAAGCGCAACACGATCCAGTTAGTGATTATTATCCCTCTACAGACATCATGATGGGAATACTTTAGGCCTACGTATCATCTGCTACAAATGTAAATACTGGAATGATAGGACGTACATTTATTTTATTATCGTAATCTACTCTAAACACTTTGCACTACTAAACATGGACATGAAATTCACTCCTCCCCAGCAATGACACGCCGAGAGAAAGCTCCTTTTTCCAATTGGATTATAAACTTCTAGCATTTCACTACTTCAGGTTGAAACATCATGAGCCATCACAGGCTACGAAACAAGTGGTTAATTAATAAAAAAAAAGGAATAAAAAAAGTGTTCTTTAGGTAAACTTCTGAAGCACAAAACAGGACATTTTCGAAAGATAACCTCTAGATCATCCCAAGAACTTCAAGTGTGTCAATTTCTTTTGAAGTCTGCCTAATAAGCCAGTTTGCAGTGCTGGCTTTATGTTCCGTGCTGCTTAATTAAATATTTCAGGAACCAGGAGCCTATCAAATGTCACTTACAGATATTTATTTATTTTGAAAACGTTTTGATATTGTCTACATGTCTATTTCTACTTGTTAGAGTTTATACCGTTCTTACGGTATTTCATGTGTTCAATAACTTTAAGTATACGGTATCTCGAATGTATGGTGTATAATAGAAAATAAATTGTTTTTTAATCCAATGTACAACTGAAAAAGCAGGGCGTTAAAAGTAACTGAGGGAGTAAATACAAAATGTATGCAACGTCATTCTTGCTCACATCAAGCAAACTTTGACATATATTTCAAGAACAGAAAAAAACAGTTGAAAGAAATTGATACAGAAAATGGACATGGCATGAATTTTTTGTATAACTTCAGAGATATAAATACAGTAATTATGTTTTAAAACGATGTCGTTTGGGAATTTTGAAATTTTCTCTTTCTGTTCACAAGCGTATTTGACTATCGGGAGTAAGAGACATTTAGAAGATGTGATAACGGCAATTGTAGTCATGGACGCACGATAGAACTGATGAATAATAAAAACTAGAAAAGTTTGAGGATAACGAAAGATAACGTGGTGATGCTGATAATGATAATGGAGATGATGATGATGATGATGATGATTATTATTATTTTGATGATGATGATGAGGATGATTATGATATTGATGATTATGTCGATGATAATATAGTAATAATAATAATAGTAATAATAATAATAATAATAATAATAATAATAATAATAATAATAATAATAATAATAATAATAATAATAATAATACATGAAATTACCAGTTTTCTTAAAATAACAAAACCATGTTTAAAATACGAATTCTGTAGATATAAACATTAATAAGCAAAATGTTTCCAATGAATATTAAGCGCTTTGTTATCGCATATAATAAAGTCGTACATGCAATTGAACTAATTTTCAGTTGCCAGTTTGAATACACAAAAAAATAAGTTGATTGTACATCATATTATCATAAAGATGATTTTGAATTTTACGACAAGAAACATAATAAGCTAATTTCCTAGGGAAGATGCACTGCCTATACTTTACACTTTTACGACGCGAGAGCAGTGCTGTAATTTAGGTACTATAGTTTGTGTCCTACGTACAGTGTAATGAATATTATCCGATGCTAAGAGAATCGGCTTGGGAGAGACCATCTAGTTTCAGATATGTAACGCAATGCGTTTAAATTGCTGTTTCGTGTCATCTGCTTTAAAGGTGTTGATCTTCATTGTAAGTTAGCGTCAGGATGCGTGACAATACTTGGGAATGTCAGTAAAATGTGGACGCAGTGCACTAGATTTACTGACAGACTGTCAAAAGAAGACACGCTGTCAAAAGAAGACACACTGTCAAAAATCATTGTACACTCAGTGATCCGCATATTATTACTATGTATCTCGTATGTACGCTGTACATACTATACATATTATATAAAACATCAAGGAATGGGAATATGTTTGAAGAATCGCTAAGGCCTAGATTCGAAATTCGAACCTGGGCCCATTATTTATAGGCAAACCACTTAACTAGATGGGCCACTGGGGCCGCCCTTGTTAGGAAGTCGAAACCGATTGGAGGCAATTTAATTGATTTCACACTTTATATACGCTGTACATTCAAACAATTTTTAAAAAAATTGAAAATTCACTTTCAATTATATACAACTATTTTCGAAATTATTACAATTCAATACAATACAGATCAATTAAAAATTTAAATTCAATGTCTATGGAAATACAATAGGCCTATCTTGTAAAGGGAAAGATAACAAAAGTATAATTATTATAATTTACATTATTGAAATTAATTGAAAATCTGTAATTTCATTTTAATTAATGATTACCTTACAACACTTTTATTTACAATTATTTAAATTGTATTATTTAAATTCAATGACACAATGATTATTCGAATACCTATAAAACAAACATCTCAAAATGTACAAACATTCAATATAGGCCTATATATAAGCTATGTTTAGGATAGTTTTTTTTTAAATTACAAAGAAATGTACACGCATGTACACAACGCATATTGTAGCCCGTATACAGGATATGCAAATTATTAAAATATAAACTTGTTTGATACACGAACTACTTTTGATAGAAATATAGTGATATTATACTTGAAAGCCCTTTAGATGTTTTATTAGGACAGTAAATGAGGACTATATAATATGATTAATTAGCACACGATGGTTTTGCTGCACGATGGTTAAATGTTCAATCAAAATACCGATTACGATGTAGGTAAAGGCTATATGAATTGTGATATTAAGGATAAAGGTATGTCTAGAGGGCGCTACTGCAAAACAAATTAAATTGAATCTATGAATACGTATTATAAGTGTTTTAAAACAATTATGGGTTCTGAATATATCTTTTTTATTTTGTTTTAAATATTCTAACAACATAAATGGCACTTGGTTTATATCTAAATATTCGTTAATAAACAACGACGTTCTTTTATGTACATGTGTTTTTTAGTTCATGAATAATGCTTAAATTTGTGGTAAAATGTGAAAGTTGGTGAAAGTAATGAAACTGTAATATAATCAGTCGCTATTACCGCATTTTATGATGGAACTATGTTTCTAAAATTAACCTAGTTGCATGTTTAATATGCTCTAATTTTGCCTGCTAAATTTGATTACATTTTAAATGTTTTGCAGTTCTGGAGTAATGCCATACTTTCACATTTGGGGATTGGTAACATACATATAATTTACTCTAAATAATAAAGTAATTAAACTTATTATTAAATGTCAGAATATTTCATTACATTACAGACTGTCAATATCGGTGTTTAGTTGTTATTTTTTCCGTTGTTGTTCCATCGAGTAGTTTCGGCTTATCATCTGTTCGTGTTTTATGGGGTGAGAAAGATGTCTTGTTGATTACAATGAAAATACTTCAGCGATTGCAATCGTGTTATGATGAATCACCAGGGAGTTCATTTGGTACATATAGAAACTGGCAGATCAATCAGAGAATGCACGTTACACATACAATAGAATAGAAGTGCTTCTGACGATGGTACTCATTACTACGTGCGGTGTATAAACTGCGATTATTACGCCATTAACTGCGACAGAACGTGGGATGCTTGCTAAATTCTGATTTCTCAAAGTGAATTCCTACTGACATCGTCCAATTAATGAACTTGTTGTCAAGAGAAAAAAATCAAAATAAGTCGTTGATGCGAATCAGGCCTATATATTCAAGATTAATTGATTTTTTTATTTCATTATAATCGCTTGCGCGATTGTGGAAATCGCATTGCGTACCTCCATCACGCATGTGCGTCAAAATAATCACTGAAATGCATGTGTACCTTATGTATCAATATGTAAAACGAGGCAACGACCGTCTTAAGTAAGTAATGTGGTGTCCCAGGTGTAAGGGAAAACCGTTATTCGTAGCATGTGGTTTTAGAAACAGGCCGTAAACGATTCTTGCAACTCAACAGTTCAAAACGATGTACGGTATACATAATTCTAGCATATGATAGAGGAAGCCATCATGTTCGTCCTACATAGTATTAACCCAGTTTTCATATGCAAAACTCCAGACGAGAAAGTATGCATACAATAGCAGAAGATTAATATTAAACAAAACCAGACTTCCCAAGTACTCGGAACATCATTGTTAGCAAGGGCGTCGATCCGTGGTTGAAAGGGGGAGGGGGAGAATTGCAAAAGAAGGAAGTCTTGGGTCATAGAGGGCCAGGGGACCGCGTAGGGCAGGGGGTGAATCCCCTGAAGTTCTGGTGTCTATAGCCTTTTATAAGTCGTGTCAAATTGATTTGAAAGAATGCAAATAATATTTATTTCCACACTACAATTTCAAAATACAGTGGCGGATCCAGGAATTCGAAATAGAGGGGGACTTTTACAGATGGTGTAGCCATCTCGGCCCAACCATGGTTGAGGCTGAGGTAAGAAAATGTATGATATGGCGCCTCCAGTTGGCCGGAAATGGCACTCTCATACGTACATTTGAATATATTTTTTTTTCTCCATTTTTAATTTTTTTGTAATTATGGAGGGTGGGCCGGCTGGGCCCCCTTCAATCTGCCACTGATTTTTTTTTTCAATTTACCTTGGTAATCATGTCCGCTTATATATTTCGTGCAAATTAACATTCATAAAAATAATGATTTATAATTTACTGATTAGCTTGTGACCTATACGAACCATGAAAATACTACAGTACTGTGTGTGGAAATACTACCGTCTAATTTACGATTAAACAGGACTAGGGAGATAAGAAGCACACAAATATTTCACAAATATAAAGGTGATTTACTTAATTTATCATTATCATGACGTCATAGCGAGATTGTGTCAACGTCAACAGTTCATTCGTAATTTTTTTTTTTTATTTATTCAGGTATAAACATATAAAAAACAATTACAAAACGGCAGCCGAAGCTGAAATGGTTTGCATCACAAAACCTATTCACAAAAAATTATTTACAAATGTAAAACAGCAAAATACAATTGCTGTTGTTCTTTCCATCCGCTTTGAAAAGAAGACTATAGAAGACTGGTGAAAAGTGGCAGGGGGTACAATTGATATGATGTCCCCCTACTTTGAAAAGTGGAAAGGAAGTGCCCCCCTGTCTCCCACCGATCGACGACCATGGTAGTTAGGCCTGTTTTCTACGAATACGTTGCCTAATTACGGACGTACGGAAATAGACAAAAAACAGGGGTGGCGCCACATCGAATTACAGACATTGGCCCCAAAAACGATCGGGCCCAGGACGATCGGGTCCATTTCAAAATAATTATAACACCATCTTGCTTGCACTCAAAGCAAATTATTGGGTGGTGCTACGGAAATGTTTCATTTAAATCTGAAGACATTGTTACGGAAATGCATTTTACGAACTTCTGAAGTCTGCCAAACTGTTTGCTTTCTAAAGTCAAAATACAAACCTGATATACATTATTATAGGCTTGTCATACATACATTCATACAATATATTTTATGTAACATGTCAGCGGGCATAATTTGGCTCAAATCAACAACAAATGAATATCCGGAACTGTTCAATTTCACTACCGGAATTTAATCACATCCGCCATGCTCATAGTAAAATAAGTAATGTATATTTAAATGTTATGGTACAGTATGTTATTACAATCCTATTCTTTAATATTATGCCAACCGCACTCACTGATGTATCAATTGAAAGACTAGGTCCTATTTTCATTTTAGAACAAGTTAAAAGTATTTTATTTAAAATCTTTTGCATCACCAAGTACTGCTGGAACTAATGGCCAGACTTTAATTTAAAAACCATAAAATCTCCAAATGTTTGCTATAATAACTCTCGCAGGATGATTATCCTAAGGAAGCCCGAGTTTTGCAGTGACAGTGATTTCGCTGGCAAATAACGGTATTTAGGTGAATTCATGAGAAAGTCAGGTTGTAGCTGTATCACCAGAATTTACAACTTGTTAGGTGCATTAACGAGCATATTCAAAATAATCTAAGCTATAGTAGGCCAAGAGTTGAAGAGTTGAGTGTGTTATGTTGCTGATACTGTATGTTCTGATTCTGTGCTACTTTAACTGTTGATACTGTAATTCTGTATATATAAAAATAAGTCATTAGGTTTTACTGTGATATACTTATTAGGCATCTGTAATGTAGTATAAACAGGATTTTAAAAAAGAATTTGTTAATTATTAAATTAATTGGTCGATTGATCAGATGGCCGGTCGATGATTGACTGGTTGACTTGACTGACTGTGACTGAATGACTGACTGACACGCTTTTTAGTTGAAATGTCCAAATTCAGTTAACAGGCCTATGAAATATTATAGAAAAGATTACATATCGGAATCGTTACCATAATGATTACCCAACATATCCTCAAGATGTCATGAATCAATCAAACATCATATAAATCAATCAAACGAGCAATCAGTCAATCACTCAATCAAATTGCGTTCACGTATTGAAAACCGTAGTCGCACGTATTGTTAGAGTATACCTTGGCGCCGTATCAGTATTATCACTCACATAGGATATAGAATAGTGGCAATTAACCTGCATTACTAAGGTTCATTTTCGAATACGAATACAAATATCAACTCCAAAAACAACCTGGTTCATTTTTGGAAAAGACTCATCTTACTCGCATCATGAAAATTCTCTATCATCACCATTCTCATTATCATTTTTATTATTCATGTAAAAGAACTTATTAAATATTTTTTAATATTATTTATATGTAAGTGCTTTATAATTACTGTAATTCTATGTTTCTAGTAATTGCGTTTTATGTATCAAGGACCTAAATTTAAATTAACCATGTTTACAAACATTTATGAATAAAACAAATCTTAATATCTTGTATAAGAATAACAATACAATACAATAGCAAGTCAATGACAATGGGAATAACAAAAGCAATAAAATTAAACTTATGAAAAACTATTAAAGAAAAAGAAGACTTCTAAATGATTGCCGATGATTGAACATTACCGCGCGATCCATTGCATTGCTTTAGTCTCTCAATACCTAGAGTTGCCGACATTAATTTGAACATTATACTGATTTAGACAGTTGATATTTATAAGATATCAATTTACTTAGTCTAATCAGTTAATAAGATGATACCTGAAACGATGTGCCGTCTAAATATGTTGATCTTAAACGATGTATTAAGCTGTCGTCCATTGAACTTATAGCAATAGTTGAACTAAGCTGTCATGATAAATGAGACAAAAATTCTTATTGGACATTGCAAGTCCCACTTGCCATGAATGCGTTAACCGCGCCCGGCGCGACGCAATACTGCTGCCTGTCGCGTATTCGACTATGCGTTGCCCCGCGCGCTACATTACAACCAATCATTGAATTGACAATTCAGAATTTCTTTTTAATTTTAACAGGCTGAATAATTATTTCTGCAATACATTGTTCCCGTTAAATAGCGTACGACGAACTAAACTGAGCATTCCATTAAAGGGCTGTATAGAAGCAGATTTTGGATTTCTAAAATATAATTTACTAATGAATACTGCCACCTATGGTATGAACAAAATGATATCGTTGCAGTTGCTGACGGTTGATTTTAGTTTGATACTTTTAATGTCAGGTCTACACCTTTTCTGACATAATTGCGGCCAATCACGCGTATATATTACGGAACTTTAACAGTTCAATACTTGGTTTAATGATACCTTGTTAGGTTTGGCTTACTTGGGCATGCGCTGAAGTAAGCTACTTTGAATTTTAAAATCTCCAGGCTGTAAACACATTCAGTGTTACTACATAATACATTACGGTTCAGACGCTTTAGGTCCACTAGAATAGCATGTTCTTCACATTATGACGTCACATAAATAGCTATAAAACATTAATTCCCTCGGGTTGATGACAGTCGTTAACTCTTAAGGACGGCAGACAGTATTTGCTGACATCGCTCAGAATTACTACTACCCCCTCTATCGGTAACAAATATTTCTTCAATCGCGGACGCACGCAGCTCCTGTGGCCAAAATAGAGTCCACTAAAACAAACGTGGGACAATGAAGATAGGTTGAGAATTTTAATTAATTTGTAGTCTTAAGTAAGTCTTAAAAACCACTGTATCAGATTGCCATTGTCAATACATTGCGCTGTCATACCAACATAAGTTGTAAACTAATACTCGTAACCTTTCACCTTCCCGTTTGTGACAGCTGTAATAATTGTGAAAATATCTTAACTCTAATCAGTTTAAGTAATTGCGTATAATCGACACAGCAGTCCTTTGGGTATATCATCGACAGTTAAAATAAAGAAAACATTTCCAAATGTGTTGGTATGTTATAAGCCTATAGGCCTATTCAGTCTGGGGAATCCGTGTTGATTGAACACACTGTAGCAATACTGCTACTTAGAGTTTATAAAAATGCATGTAAAACTAATTATTGATTGTCACCTTTTTTTTTTCTTCAAAAATTTTGAGTGTATGGAGGTTTATTGGTTTATTTAAACCCAATGTTTTTTAAGGAAATACTACCAGCATATTGTACATGCGATCTCTAGTGTTCAAGGAGTCTGGTTTATTCATGGATTTTCTCATTGCTATACTCATATAAAAAGATCAAAATTTATAAGCATTCAAATTTAGAATCAAATACAGACCTATTCAGTG